TCTTAAGGATAATTGAATTGTTTGCAAGAAGATTATACAATTGTTCTGCCAGAATGGGCGCAGGAAAAAGTCAGTTTACGGAAGAGGAGTTGCAGGATTATCAAGTGAGACCACTTTCCTTCTATTATTATTGTTTGTTTACCTTTAATTTGAAGGGAAACAAACTTCACTATTCCTTAAAAACTTTTTTAAATCTGTTTCTTTTTATTGATAAAAATTTGTTGAAAATATTTAGGATTTGACGTACTTTACAAAGAAGGAAGTCTTATAGTGAGTATTATTATAAGATGGTTAATATTTTAACTTAAATAATATTGAATTTTGTTACTGAATATATATATACATATACATATACACACACATATATATATATATATATATATCTTTTATTATGCATTAGGTTAAATTATATTATTATATGCAAAGTTAAATTTATTCTTTTCTTGATAGCGCACATCAAAAATTCAAGGCACTTGCACCAGAGAAGGTTGGACATAACAAAAATGCAAAGCTACCTATGTCTAAAATTCTACAGTATCCTGAATTGAGAGTAAATCCTTTTGGTGACCGGATCTGTAAGGTCTTCAGTTCTAGTCAGGATGGTGATTGCACCTTCGAGGATTTTCTTGATATGATGTCTGTATTCAGTGATGCTGCACCAAAAGCTGTAAAGGCTGAACATGCATTTAGAATATTTGGTGATTAAAAGTCATTTGATTGGTGAATTGATTGATTGTGAACTGAAACTGTATTGTTGATTAAACAATATTTTTACTTTCTAAGATTTTGATGGTGACGATATGCTTGGTGTGGGAGATTTACGACAAGTGGTCGACAGATTGACTGCACCTCAGAGATTGAATGATAATGATATGCAACAGCTTCTTCAATATATTCTCGATGAAGCCGATTTAGATGACGATGGTGCACTCAGTTTCGCTGAATTTGAACATATTATAGAAAAGAGCAGCGATTTTTCTAAGTAAGATACAATCGTAATTATGTATGTAACAAAATACAAATATAATTATCTATATCAGTAACGTTAAAATTTTTTCACAGGAGTTTTTGCATTCGTTTATAAAAGTACTATCAACGACAAATTCACTAATGAAAGACTGAACAATAATCGATATTTAATTATGCTAATGGACACGGGCCTAACACATATTTAAAAAAAAAAAAGACCATTGTCTGTAAAATATCAAGGCTCTACAGTTTTGCCTAAGTCAATTTTACAATCTCATAATCTTATTATCGAATTTATTTGTGATTTATATAATAGAAGAAGCAAACGTAATTATAATATATACTTATGATATTATATACTTTATTTATTACTTATTATTACTGTTATTATATATGATACTTAAATATAATGAAATAAAGTTTTCTTTTGCTTAGCATTTCTAAATGTCTTATGATTTATAATATGCAATATTAAATGTACAAGTTTGTCATATATTATCTCTATTATGAAAAAGGCGAAAAATTGATTTTTGATATAAACTTTCAAGGACACATTTAAAAAATATGTACCTATATTGAAATATAATATTTAAGATATTAGTTACAATAATACATACTTGTAATTCTATTATTAATTTATTTAAAAACAGGATATATCTTATTTTATGAATAATATAATGTTAAGGGAATGCTGAACTGACAAGCGAACGTCAACAAGAGTTTTCATGCATATCCATATTTAACATATATTTATGTATATGTACATACGCTCATACATAGATTTCTGCATATATGAATCTAATCTCTTAAATTTTGCATAAATGATAATGTACCAGCACTCGGATAGTACTTCTCTGTTCATTTCTCCTACAAGCATTTTTGAAGGTCTTAAAATATTTTCAATATTCTCAAATCATGTTTTGAAAGTCTTAAAATATTCTTATATATTGAATAAATATAGGTGAATAGTTTCTGTTTGAATATACATTTAATATTATTTATATCAAGTGAATAAGTGACTTAGGTAATAATGGAAAACTGTAATAGAGAAATTTTTCTTATTTTTCTTATATCATTTTATAACTATCCATTTATTTTGATATTTTCTCTCATTTTGGAAAAGATTTTTTTATTCAACTTTTAAGGAAAGCGAAAAGAAATTAAAGAAATACAAAATATATATTCAATCAATAAAACAGACAAGTCCATTCTCTTAAAGCTAATTTTATTTCTTTATTACAAAAATTATCAGTCCAGTATTATAACATGTTCATATTCTATACAGTATTATAAAAAATTGATATTCACAATAATAGAATTTACAATTGTCTGTAATTCAGGATTGCAGATAACCCCTAAAAAGAAAAATAAATGATTATCTAATATAACAACATTTATAGAAATGATCTCCAATCAAACATATCAAATATCTTACGGAAGTTTCATCTTCATAAATATCCAGCATGCAATAAATGACACGAGTATGCTAAGGAATCCGACACATATTAGGAGAACTCTATTGAGTTTTGGTGTTGATGGGCCATGTGTTTGATCTAATATAATGAAGCCCAAGCCTCCCATTGTAAACAAGAAACTGGAAGCTAAGCCCTCCATAATATATTGTCCATTTACACGATAGGGCATAAATGCTACCTGTAAGAATTATTTAGATTTATATATAAGAAACCAATTGTTAAAGACAAAGATTTCCCTGACAATAGTCTTACAGGTCTCGTATGACCATGTTCATCTGTTGTAGATCCTACACTGGGTGGTTCAACGATTACATCATATATAATTCCTGTAAAATAAATTTATATAAAACTGAACAGCAATTAATAAAATAAATACATATTAGAGAAAGCAGAATTATAAATTGCTTAATATAATAATCTATTCTAATTGTATTGCTATCAAGAATTACATAATATTATGTTTTTCAATATATAAAGGATCACAAAGTTACTTCAAAAGGACCACAAAAAGTGGATCCTCAACATTTCAATTTATATATTTTACTTGTAATTAAGTAATAATAAAATATATTGATAATATTCACAATTATTTATGTAATATATTTTATCAGAAATAAAAAACTTATATAAATGTAAAATAAAATACAATTAGGAAAATAAAAATATACAGATATAAAAACACATAAAAATACATAACCTATTTTTTTTTAATCAGTTTGAAAGCGGGACGACGTGTGGCTCAATGCTTAACGCAATTGATAATATATCATAATCGAGGGATATAGCAAATTCAAACTTGGTCCTCGCCCCATATATTGTTCCACAATTTTTGAGTTTCATGTGGAAACTTATATTCAGATTAAGAGAAAAAACTCACATTGTGTTTAATTGTACTGGGATTAAAAGCGGAAAAGAGAATTAATGGGAAAAATGGACTTGTGGTATATAATCGGGAGGTCCAATAGAAGCCACAATTTGTTCAACCGAGTAGCAATTTAAAAGGATCAGTTTGAAAGCTAAAGTGGAAAATCATAATTCAAAAAAGTTTGAAAAATATTATATATTAACGTATAACGCATAATATAATAAATGTATAATATATAAATATATAAACACATATAATAAAATATATAATATATAAACACAGACAAAAATAATTAATCAATAAATAGCAATTTAAGAGAATTGCAACATGTCTAACCTCCTGTCACCAAGAAGTACGATAGCAGAATGAAGGAAAAGACTACCATAGCGCTAGGTTTCACAAACCAGGACGGTCTCTTCAGTTTCAAATTAGGCACTTCCAGGATTAAGAATGGTAACCGGTAAACACACTCCATCCTGTTTGCGATTGAATCTAACGCTTGCTAAACTGTCTATGCAATGGAAAAATAAAGATCTCATTCGAGAACCGGGAACATTCATCTGATACCTCAATGGTCTAGTTTCCACCGAAGTCTTCAATTCGATTCTACTTTGGTACGGAAATTTAGACTGCGTTCCGATATTCACTGCCAGTACTGAAAATATATATAGTTTAGGTCACGTATATTATAGATTTTCAGTACTGGCAGTGAATATCGAAACGCAGCCTTAATATGCTGTTTCCATCGGAAGTAAAGTCAGAGAGAAACCTGAGAGCGTCCTTTTTCTTGACATGGTCGAACTCGTCGTGCACTACCACTACCAACGTCTATAATTGAGTCTGTGAACTACAAGTCACATCTATTTTGCGATACTGCCGATAAAGGGTACTTTCCAACAAGGAGAGTTTGGTGTTACACAGTATGACACAGAGACACTGTAAGACAGAATTATAAAGTTTAATTGGAACATATAAGTTACTAAACACGCTTACTAGAGAGCGTAAAAACTTGTGACGTGGAAAATCATCACGCATAAACATGAGCGCATTTTTTTCGTTATTATTCATTACTGCCAGTGCATTTTTTGAAGAATTATTAATACATATTGAAATAAATTTAAGTAAATTATATGTATTGATTATTTCATTCCTGGCTACAAAGCGCTTTATTTTATATTTGTGAAATAACTATGATCTTTTCGATTTGACATTACATGGAATCTCATTCATTTCAGGTGAGTATAATTCCTTTTCTCTTTCAAGGAAAACTTCTTTTCCTTTGAAACAAGTATGATGCTTAACATCATTTAATGTAGAAATAATTCCTTTACAATGCCGATAAAAGAACATATCTGCAATAAAAATTAGTCCAATAGAATTTGTACTAATAATGGGTCATCAACAAATACGTAATATTTTTAAGCTTATATAGTTCTTTAATATAAAAAAAACTGAATTGATTACCTAAGAATTCTGAGTTCGGTATTACGTTATTCGAATGCGACGAAGACTTTTTTTGTAGATAAAGAATGCGTTCCGTTTCTCGCATGATACGTGTGATGTATCATTTATCCTTATCACAATACATTAAACAAGGATAAATGATGCATTATGCGCATCATGCAAGAAACGGAACGCATCCAAAATGACAATAATGATCGGAATGTATATTAGTACCACACTTAAAAAAATAATTTTGCTCGATATGTTGGCACTATTGACGTCCGACACGGCCAAACTTAGGATCGAGCTGTGTTTCGCAGTGTCATTCATCAGCTGTGTCTCTGTGTCATAGATGGAAAGCACCAGTGTAGACACTGTGTTACACAGTGTCGCCTGTGTATATGTTGAAAC